ATCTTTTCTCCGGCGCAATTAATTTTACTTCATGCAACAGGATGAGAAAAATACCCATTCTCAAGAGAAACTCCAAAAAGTCCCTTTTTTTAGGGATGAATGTAACACTTCCTTAAAATTCGATAATTTGAATTATAGCCAACTTTCGAAAAATTGAACAAATTAGTTTTTTTGGGATAGTCCAAGGATCAAAAAGACAAATTTCCAAGATCAAGAATTGAGAATCTGACGCAGCCCCAAACTTTGCTAAAAAACCTGACTTCCTTTGATCACCCTGTATAAGTGGATGAATAGAAGAAATACACCGATCGAACTTGTGCGTATTCCCAAGGAGTTTGTCAAGAACCTCTCGAACACCGCAAATCAATATCGCTGTCCGTTCCGAAAATATCGAAATTTGAATTTGGGTAAAATTTTCCATGATGCAAGCAACTGTCCACCACTAGTATAGTATGTGCTAGAAAATAATAATAACAATAAATGTCTTTATTAATACACATTACATCAGTGGGGCGAAGTTTAGCCAAGTGGCTACTCTTAGACTTAACCTCACTGTGTGTCAAAGAGTAACATAGTTAAACTCGGTACACAAACAAACAATAGTAATAATATGAATAGAATGAAGTGTAAGTGAATGAATTGAATAGATAACGTGTTGACAACACGCACACACGAGCCAACAGTAAAAGAAAAAAAAATGTACAAATGCACACTTGAACTATTAATATCCCATCAACTGTTTCTTAACGAGTCTCCTGAAAGGTACTATTGTTTTACTGCTACATATTTTATCTGTGAGTTGTATAACTTGACAGCACGAAATGTGAAGCTTCTCTGGAAAAGGGCTGTGTAGTGCACTGGCATCGCAAAATTAAGATTGCGTCTGAATAATGTTACCTCTTGGTACTAGCTTTTCTAAAATGTACGGTGGCTTTTTTGTGCGAACTACTTTATGGACAAACACCTTCATAGCATAAACAAACTGTGATTCCATGTTTAATCAATTTAAATCTTTAATCTTCGAAGAGACACTACTATATTTACGAAGTCCAAACACAAACCTGCAGCAGCTGTTTTGAATTTTTTGTAACCTATACCGATCCGACGAATCCAAATAAGAATAGAATAAAATCAGAGAATGTCGCAAAGATGATAGGATCAAGCTTTCAGCTAATTTTTTCCTAATCTTAAAGTTTAAAATAAACCGATTGGAGTATAAAAGTTGTAATTTTGTGACAGGTAACCGATGTGTCTATCAAACTTGGAGTTAGAGTCCAAGATAACACCCAGGTGTTTAGAATGTTCTGACATAGGGATGCGCTCGTTATTTATAATGAGTACAATTGCGTCCTTTATGTTATTATACATGTGTTTCGGTGAAAAAAGCATAATTGAACTCTTTTCAGGATTGATCCTGAGACAGTGCTTTTTACAAAAATCCGTAATATTGATTAGGTCAGTATTAATCTCAAAGATTACTTCATTTAACTGAGCATATTTGAAGTGAAATGATAATTGTGTGTCATCAGCATACATTTGTATAGAACAAAATTCCACACATGAGTCTAAGTCTATAGTGTAAATTAAATATAGCAGAGGTCCCAGAACTGACCCCTGCGGGCCACCAGATGAAACCACAGTACTAGAAGAAACGCAGCTAACCGTCTTAACTACCTGTTTTCTTTCAGCCAAGTAGCTTGGGAAAATTCTTAGCGGAATATCAGATAGTCCAATGTACTTCAGCTTGCTCAACATGATTTTGTGATTAACTAGTATGGTATTAATATTACCTACGATGTTGTCAGTTAGATGAAGCAAGACTGAAGTAGTGCTATGTCCCGCACGAAATCCTGATTGATGAGGACGAAGCAAGTTATTTTTCTCTAGATATTCCACTAGTTGAATGTACATTGCTTTCTCTAATAGCCTCGAACAAAAGCACAGCAAATTAACAGGCCGCAAATGATTATGAGAGGTTGGATTTTTGACTTTCGCTAAAGGGATGATAATAGCTTCCTTTCAAGCTTCAAGAAAAGTCCCGATCTCAAGGCATATATTAATAATGTGTTAAATACAATAAAATTTCAGGTCAGCAGTTACCTAGCATGTTGAAGTTAATTTCATCACTCCCTGTAGGAGGTGACTTGATGTCCAAAATTTCTTCAACATTCTAAATGTAAGTGGAGTTACATCTCTTGCCTGTTAAAGCTGTTTTCATAAAACTCTACTCTACTATCAATCAAACGGGAATTGATATTAAGATTTTGGTAATTTAACATGAAGTGGTTTTTGACTTCGTTAGGGTCTAATAGATCATAATGTATTTCAATGTGTTTCTGGGGACAAATATTCATTAGTCTCAGCTGAGCCCAAGCTTTTCTAGTATTGAGACTATCAAAACGTAATAAACATGCCCTTTTTCTCACGCCGGATTGAAGCAAGTGAATAGGCAGCAGCGGTGGCCGCAGTAGTAGACTATTCGGTCTCCTGATCAGTCGCCGCGCGCTGTGCGGGTTCGAGTCCCGTCCCAGGAGAAATTTTTCTCTTGGCTATGGATGTTGTGATTGTCGGTAGGTGGTAGAAGGTCTCTGACTGTCGAACGCGGAGGTACCACCCGGCGGTTCTCGTAGGCGGAGCCAGAATGTGTGCATGTTCCATGCACACGTGTTCCCTAACCAGAGTCCGTGTGGCGTCCCCCCTTTCCCATGTATCCCCATAGCCCCACGGTACCCAATGGGTGCTTAGGCCTTAGGCCTTCGTGGTAGTTGGAATATAAAAAAAAAATTCTTAACTGTTTATACGCTGTCCAATTTTCATCTGATGGACTGTGACGAAATTTAATTAAAGCCTCATCTCTCACCTTAAGAATGACCTCAAGTGCAAAAGGTAACCATGGAGCAGCTTTTTTGGTGACACGAGCCGTCCGTATAGGAGCATGAAAGTTAAAAAGCTCAATAAGCACCCCATTAAGGATTAGAATTTTCGAGTTAATGTCAGTAATATACAGCATTTCTTCTAAGCCAGCTGCAGCCAAATCCTGATTGCATCAATGTTCTTAAAATTCCTATTGGTTATGAATTCTTCCTCCGATGAAACGGATTTTATATTTAACTCGCAAAATACTAGTTTATGGTCAGATATCAGATCTGTATTTAAGGTACCAAAGTTGAGAACACTCTCAATATTATTTAAAAATATGACATCAATTAAAGTAGAACTAAAACGAGAAATGCGAGTAGGTTCATCGATGACCTGCCTGAAACCATAAAAATCAAGACAACTGTTGAGTACATTCGTGGTATCGAACATATCAATACTCATGTCCCCAAGGAGAATAATCTCACTATATTGAGGCATAAAGAAAGAAACAAGATTGTCTATGTGGTTTTTTTTGAAACAAATCTTTATTCAATATTCAATTTTTACAAATTTTATTTATATTATTTAGCTACAATAAATTCAACAATTCAAGTGTCTTTTGAGTATCTTTACATAATTTCTAAATACATGTACTTTTTTACATTATTTGGTAGGTTGTTATACGTTTTTGTTGCATCAGTGATAGGGTTATTTAATCCTATATTGGTTCTAGTAGGAATGTAGTACAAATTATTATGTGATCTTGTCTCATTGTCATGCACCTCATGTGTGATCAAAATGTTTGTATTACACTTTTGTTGGTTGTTTAAAATTTTGAAGATCATTTTACATTGTTCTAATTCCAACAGCTTATCTAGTTTACAAACATTCAATTCTGAGTACAGATTGTCCGTATTGGCAAGTCGATCATAGTTGAACAAATTTCTTAATATTCTATTTTGCAAAACTTGTGCTTTATGAAATTCAGTTTTACAACACATTCCCCAAATAGGTAACATATATCTAAAGTGTGCTAAGAAAAATGTATTATAAATATTTATTTTACTTTTTGTAGTTAAGTAGTCTCTGCTTCGGTACAAAGCAGCTATAATCGATGTTGTTTTATCCAAAAAATGTTTAATGTGACTAGACCAATTCAAGTTCTCATCGATAAATAATTAAACCCAGGTATTTGGTGCTCGATATTTTTTCTATTATAACATTATTTATTCGTATAGAAGGGTTTTCGAATATTTTATTTTTCTGTTTGAAAATTAGATATTTTGTTTTATCAATGTTGACCTTTAATTTATTCGAATATAGCCATTTACAGTAAAGAGCAAGATCTAAATTAACTTCGTCACGCAGAGCCTGCTCATGATTTCCTTTATAGAGAAGAACTGTGTCGTCAGCAAAAGTAAAATACCTTGCATTAAGATTGGCACTCTTTAGATTTAGAACATATAAAGAATATAATAGTGGACCCAAGATGGACCCCTGGGGGACTAAACTACACTCCGAACAGTGAGGAGGTCTACAAAGTATCGCAACAAGCAGGCTTACGGAATTGATTCTACATTTACAACACAATAATTCCAGCGTACTGCTACCCAAAAAATCGATATTAACAGTACTGAATCTCAGATTAGCCTTTGCGTATATGCCAACCCCACCACCTCTGCCAATTCTATCTTTGCGAAAGAAATTATAATCGTGCATACTGATAAGATTATCTGGTATATTACATGAAAGCCAAGTTTCAGACACAGCTATAATATCAAATTGATCTTTTATCAGCAAAGAAAACTCATTAAAAGAAACTGTAAGTGATCGAACATTTAGATGGCAAATGTTCTGTAAACGGTTGTACGCAAAAATTCCTGAATTGCTGAATTTAATAGCTATCTGATAATGAGGCCCCATCACATTTGATAGAAAGCAGACAGAGATTCTTCACGGAGATTAATTCTAAGCATATCATCATCCACAAAATTCAATGACAGTAACCTTTAACAGCTAAATTAAAGTACATCCTCACATTGTTCTACAAGATGCGACAATGGAAGCGTGTCGGTACAAAGGCGTTACAGTATAAAACGATGATATTCAAAAAAATTTACTCAGTTTATCATCAACATTAAAGTGACAAGCATCTGGAACAGACGGCGAACCAAACAGGTATTATTTTTCGTTTCTCGATTCTATACAGGATGTTTCAGAACTAAGGGATCAAACTTCTAGGGGTTATTCAGTGTAACAATAGAAAACATTTGAGTATATCCATATCCGGAAAAGTGTCACTACGGCACTAAGACCCATTAAAATTTAGAAAGACGATGAATTGCCTAAATAGGATTTAATGCATTTAATTTTTGCCTTTTGTACATGATATCATCACAACAATTGTTCAAAATGTCTTCCTCCAACCTGAATACACCGATTTAAACGTCGCACATGATTTCGGCAGACTTGACTAAAAATTTGATACACGTTTTGAAGGATTTCAAATGCTGCTGTAATTCGTCCAATTAAGTCTTGCTCTGTTCCTACTGGAGTTTCGTAAACCAAAGACTTTACATTTCCCACAGGAAAAAATCTAGCGACGTTAAATCGGGTGACCTAGGAGGCCAAGAAACTGCTCCACCTCTGGCAATCCAACGGTGCCCAAACCGCTGATCCAAATACTCACGTTCTTGCACAGCAAAGTGAGCCGGCGCTCCATCATGCTGAAACCACATTTGCTGTCGAACGTTCAATGGAACATGTTCAAGAAGTTCTGGAAGAACTTCCTCCAAGAATTGCCGGTAAATAGGTCCTGTTAACCGTTCCCAATCAAATGATCATCAACAATGCCTGCCCATACGTTGACAGACCAACGTTGCTGATGTTTTGTAGGAAGAATTGCATGGGGATTTTATTTGTCCCAAACGTGGCTATTCCTACTATTAAAAATACCGTCTCTTGTGAAAGAGGCTTCATCGGTCCATAAAAATTTGGTTGTGCAGCGATTTGGTGAAAAAGCAATTGACGAAATTGAACTCTAGGATGATAATCGACTGCAGTCAATCATTGAACTTTCTGGAAGTTGTAAGGATAAATTTGTTGCTCGTGTAGCACCCGCCAGACGGAAGCGTTACTCATATTCATATCCTCAGCAATGTGACGTGTGCTACTTGATGGTTCGTCGGCAAGTCGCTGAAGGACCCCTTCTTCAAATTCGACCGTTCTTACGGTTCGAGCAACACCAGTATCATGCATGTTGGTTTTAAACATGCCTGTCTCGGAGAGCCGCCGATGAATATCAATAAACTTTGTATCCCGGATGCTGTCGTTCGGGATAACGTTCTTGATACAACCGCGCTGCTGCTCGTGCATTGCAGCTTGTTGCTCCGTATGCCAAATGCATGTCCGCCAGCTCTTGATTGGTAGAATTTTTCATAAGTAACAATTAATTTTTGTTAAATAAAGTCGACATGGAATGCAGCTACAAAAAATAATTTCTGTTATCGTTTTTAAAGATAAAGTATTTTCACCTTAAATGCACAGGTTCTTATCCAGAAAGAGGTTGTGACCATAGTGCCCTATTAGAGTTTTTCAATTTGGATTTACTGTCAACAAGACGGAACATATTTGCTTTGTCGTTTTTGTATGGCCTCATTCACAATAAAATTGACTGTCAAAATTTACTTGAAAAAATATGTTTCCGCGTTCCAAGGCTAGGGAGTCGACAACAAACGGCATTCTATTGTCAAGCTGGCCGTACAAATGTTATGACAAAATCGCCAATTAATCTCATGTGCTGCGTCATGAACAGTGTTACTGAGTCGTGTGATATTTACAGTGACAGTTGTGCATCGATTATTAACTGCAATAGATCATCCAATCTTATTTAGAATGTGTGATACTATAGATTTAAGTCCAAGAACCATGTCTCTTTAATTGTTATTTTTTTTCAGCATTCCCTGTAATTGAGTTTCACCTGTTGGAAATAAATAAATAAATAAATAACAACACACAAGCACCGGATATGGGTCCCTATACTCAAATGTTTTCTACTGCTAATGCTAAAGTGTCACGCATCTCTGACTAGAGTATGGAGATGAGACTCTGCCCCAATTTCAGCGAAAAACTGATGATATCATATTCGTCATCTAAGGGCCGTATCGTCAGCTGTTCCTACAATTCTGGAGCACCTTTACGGCCTTATTGATTTTAATAGTCTCCTTTAGAAAGGCTGGGGTATGTATAGATTTCTACTGTTTCATGTCAGCGTCAGCGCCCGCCTATTGTGAGGTTATGTTATCTTTTTGAATCTTACGAAGTTTCTAAGAATTCAAAAAGAAAATATATACTGATAATGTAGCGCTGACATTAAACAGTAGGGATACCGGTGCCTTTCTGGATAGGAAAAGGCGCCCTACAGATTCTGGTTGAGATTGCAGAAGCCCAAGAATATTCGGAAATTTTCTTTAATAGTATGTGTTTAAACCTTAAAGTGAAGAATTGATTCCTTAGCATAACTTAAATGGTGCCGCAATTATGCACATGAGTATTTTATGGCTCCACATTGCAACTCACTTTTTGATATTATTTGCAGATACCAACAATGGTTCTCTACTTCCAAGCTGTTATACTTACAATCTGCCTGCTACATACAACCTCTGCAGACTCCCTGGTTGACCAAAAGCTAAAAGCGGATGAAAACTTCCTGAACGGCCAAAAATTGAATACCAACGGGAACTTCTTCGAATCAGCACCCGTAGTACACGAAACCCACCAAAGCGAAGAACACTCCACAGGTATAACTTGTTAAGCTCATATCTTGACAACAGAACGAAACATGTTTTTCTATAATGCTTATTGTTCAGCGTGTGCCGTAGAGATCAAACCTAGTTTGCCGTTTTTGTCGATGATTTGACCGCTAAATTGTCACAATCACCTATTTGCCAGCCAACACCAAAATTACAAATTTAGAGAACCATATTTCCTATCAGGAGGATCTAGACACTATCACACAATGGTGTGATAATAACTCAATTTTTTAAACATTTTAAAACGTAAGGTTTGTTCGTATAGTGGAAAAATGAACACGATCATCTTTAATTATAGCATGAATAATTCAGCTTTGGAGAGAACGACAGATATTAATCATCTTGGTGTTACATGTTTCTGCAGGTTACACTTTTCTGCCCTCAAAGCACCCATCAGTTCTAAAGCTACAAGAATTGTAGGTTTTTTGGTGCGAATAAAGCTTAAGTACGCGTTTTCAATACGAAGTCACTTCTATCCATATTCCGTTGAAATTTGACTTATTATTTATTGTATTAAGAGGCTAATTTTGCCCTAGATAAATTAAAATTATTAAGTCCAGTGGCGACCCTTAGCAAATATCATTGGGAAAAGATGTACGCCACTGCTTTTTTTGTAACTTTAACATTTGTTGATTGATTAACCATCTAAAAATACACCTTATCTCTCTCTCTTGTAATTTTTTTGGTATCTCACCTCGTTTTCGAGAAAAAAAATAAAAACCGTTTTATTGCATGTCACTTGACAAAATTGATTTATTAATTTTTGCTAATTAAAAATCACAAGTGCTTTGGAAAACAATAAATAATTTCTTGATTGAGATTAATACAACAAATGGTATTGCTAAATTTCAACAGAATCATAGAATATCTAGTAGCTCTTTTTTTTAAATTAATCACCTTGTTTCTTGAAAACTCGTGTTTATTCAAACTTTTTTGATATTCTTTAACAAGGAATCACCCTCTAGAATATCTCCGTCTATTTTTCCAACACCCTGTATATAGTAATTATAATTCTACAGCAGACAGTTCTCATAAAAATTTTGACTGTATTGGTAACGCTTCGTGAAGTTTCAATGACTACTGCTCTAGCTATTTTTTGTTATTGTTACGTGCCGCGGACAGTCAGCACGTCTAACAAATGTTGCGCATCGTGCGTTCAACATATTTGCTTGAATATCTGCAACATTTTGCCCATAAAAAAGTTCCAGGCACGTGTTGCAACCTGAAATGCTCGCGGCGTAAATACCGACACATGTTGCTCACAGCAGTCATTTTGTGAACTTTTGTCCCAGGCGCTTGTACTGTGACATATTGCAGATTGCATTTTCTGCCAGATATGCGGAGACATGGTGCATCGCATGCTCCAGCGCAAAGGACTCCGTACAAAACGTATGGAAACTAAGTCGGTTTGACTAAAAATTCAATACGATATATTTCTCGTCTTCCTGGATAGAAGTTCTCATCCAAACAGCAATCCTATGATTACTTTCTGAAAAACGCTCGCAGGGAAACAGTCGGAGAATTGGAGAATTGTTACACTGTAAGAAATATTTCGTTTAAAAGAATTTATACAAAGTTGTTGGAAGGTGTTACGTTGATCTTAACCATGATCCTTACAAAGTCAATTCAAGCGCAACTTTTCTTTTGTACGTTGATGCTTAGAAGGATATGGCACGAGTGGTTCAAGAGTTAAAAAAATTACTCAAAAGGACAGTTCGCAATGGAACGGAAAAGTCATGCTTGTTTACTTGTCTTTGATTATGACCTTGAATTGATTTTATTCATAATTTCGTCCTCAGTGAACTTCTTAGTGACTATACTAAACTTTTATTAAAGTGGCCTACAGAAATACCATATCTTGTTATATTTTCTATGAGCGATTGATTTCACGTATTGTGACAAGAACAGAAGGAGAAGCGAGTGCCCATAAAACATAAATCATCGTATTTAATACGCGCAACAAGTGATATGCGGCACATAGAAGTAACTACCCCGACAAAGACTTGTACAAACTGTAGTCAAAGATTGCTTAATAGTCAACATTTGAGGCTATAAAAAATGAACTCTGTCGCTTCGAAGAAAAATATAAATAAATAAGAGCCTTGTCTAATTAATTATCAATTCCATAAGCTTAAATGTCATTAATTTGATTTGTAATTTAGAAAAAGCTGGTTGAAGTGGCCGACACGTTAGTAAACTAGCCCATTCAACATTATGTGGTATCATTTATTGGCCAGTTCAATGGAGATGGATATGATACACCTTAAGTAATGCTTACACTTATACTTCTCTGTCAGCTTCAAAATTAACAAGACTCTAACCAAGGGCGGATTCAGGATTTCGTCTAGGGGGCGCAAACGATATTTGCAGCTGGTCATTTTTTAACCTCAGTGGAACTTCTAGAATTTATCCTATTATTGCTCCTTGTGTTCTATCCGGTCAAGACCAGCTTGAAAAGAAAACATGGAAATTGCTCAGAAATCCTCAGAAAGCCAATATTTTATTATATGAGAACAAAGTAAGTACGTGGCATTTATAATTAACTAGTGTAATGATATTAAAGATCAAACATAAAAAACTTCATTGCTCTGTTAACCGACAAAAAATAAATAAAATATTCTGAGGGACCCCGAGACATATCCCAGTCCATTCCACACAAAACAATGTCTTTGATTGCGAAAACGAACATGGAACCAAAAAATTCACATTATCGTGTGGACGCTAGACAAGACAAAGAAGGATGTCTGTAGACCATCTATAGATCGTGTCTTGAAACCGTCTTCTTGCGCAATGGGGTCTACTAGTATGTAATAAGCTTAACTATTAAGACTCTGAACCGCCCATTAAACAAATCAAGTAAATGGTGCAAATACTGACACAATCAAGCACTTCTATTATATCAGCAATATGAGGCATGTATGACTTGGATCGCCACCCAGCAATCAGTACTGAGGTATTCCTTAATGCGTGTCAATCACTTGTACCGGAAGAAGTTGTATGCTGGATACAACAACTTCCGGAACAAGCATTCGCCACGGCCCCGCTCAGTAGGGGTTGGGGTTATTGAAATTCAATATAGATTTTGTTATTTTTCAGACTTTCGTTGTCGAACTTAGATTTACGGCATAGTTGTTTTCTCAGTTTTCGAACCGGTGTTGATCGCATGTAGAAATGATGGAAATCCGTGAAAAAAACTATATCTGTTAGATCGTAATTATTTTGATAATGTATATTTGTATTGAACAAGTACAGGAATACAGGGCTGTACATATTCAGGTATAGTGCAGCAGCTCTGTGATTTAGACGAATTCAATATAGCAACATAAATAGACAAATACATACGCGGGAAGGAATGTGGGACGTGTGGTATTGATTTTGAGCTTCGATCGACGCAGTTTCTCGACAGGCCACAGGCGCTCCGCTAAACAAATCTCATAAATGTCTATTTCCAATTTAGGCATTCATCCAACATAGTGCTTCGCTGCAATACCAACCCTGAACAACATCAGTCAAGCTTTACAGACTTTTCAAATAACTATTGAGCAACAAACAGAACATAAATCACTTTTTAAGTGCAATCTGTATAGCTAATATATTACCCAGACTTAGATTTGTCCCAAGTCACAATACTCGAATATACAGCTACGTATAAATCGTAAGAGTTGTGCTGTAAACAAGTAATGTCAAAGAGGGACAGCATTTGGAATACCAAAGGATACCAAAAAATCATAATGCTCAGTTCCTATAGCTATACCTTATAGTTAGCATGCCTCCGTCACCATGATGTGACAGAAAGTAACACAACGGTGTTAGATTGCAAAAGCAAATATCAGACGTCTAGGGGGGGGCGCCCCCCACTCCTTTCCTCTAAATCCGCCAGTGACTTTAACAAGGTGATAATCAAAGGCAAAGAAACAACTGCGATTTTTCGGTACTCTTGAGATGCGAAATGTCCTATTGAATTTTCTGATATCTCTAACATTTCATGCCAGCTCTATTCCACTATTAACACATAAAACTTAAATTTCGCTTAAGATGACCTTCTAAGTATAATGGTCAAGATAAAATCTCTCCACACCTTCCTACAAGGTGTTTTAACGGAATATTTCTTTCAGCTTTCGGATTCTACGAGTTTTTGGTACTTTAATTATTTTTCCAAGTTTGGCAAGTTTCATCTCCCTATTTCTCAGAAACTAATCATATGATTGCGTTGGTCCCATGAGAAGTTTTGTTCAGGAACGCGAAAAATATATCATACTGATTTTTAAAGCAAACTGACCGGGTCCCATTTTCCATGTTTTTGTGCAAAGTCCTTTGTTGTAATCTAAACGCACCTTACAGGTCCCATCATCAAGAAGCACGTGGAGAGCCACCATAGCGAAGACTCGGCCAGCGAATCGAAAGGCTCGAAGAGCGCTAGCAGTCCGATGAGCATGGATATGACCATGGGAAGTGGTTTGGGCATGGGAATGGGCATGGGGATGAAGCCAATGATGATGAAACCCATTACGGGCGGTGTTGGAATGGGAGTGGGGTCACTGGGAATGGGTATGGGATCTGTAGGGATGGGCATGGGAGGAATGGGCATGATGAAGGGTGGTATGGGAATGATGAAAGGAGGTATTGGAATGATGGATGCAGGAATGGGTGTAGGACATGTTGGTAAGTGAGAATTTTTTTCCAAACTGTTATAATTTATCATTCACAAAACAATAAAAACTTTTATGAAAAAACAGAGATATAGAAATAACAACAGCAAACACAGGATTGTGAACACCTCCTTGCCTCGCCTTATTTTTTTCCTCCGTGCGTTGCAAAAACACAATTCAAGTTCCTACAACGGAACAGAACTCTAATGAAGCAGAACTGACTTAAGCACTACATATTCCACTCTCAAGGAATCAGCCAGTGGAATATTATTCTTATCCCGGCACGGGCATTACGTATCTTGAAAAGTGACATTATGTCGATTTTTTTGATGTTATATTGTTTTTTTGTAACATGATGAAGGTTTTTCTACAAGATGTTAGCTTAGCACTAGCTGATGGACTCGCTGTGAACTCGCTTTGTAGTCGTACGTCTTGCCTAAACGTCATGAGGCTTCAGTTAGCAATGTTTGGCTCTAATGTGATGCAAAATCTGTTTCAGTTATAGCATTACTGGAGGTAACGGCACTGCATAGGTGCATAGTGATGATTTCTGTGCTTATAATATGTTTTGATGATAATTCCATTGGATTCTAGTTTCAAATACACTTACTTGAGATTCAAAGCTAGAAATTAGCTGCGCATCCACTTTTTCTTATCTATTCTGGAAATTACATACGCAAATTTGCTGCATTTCAAAATTCTCCTCAAAGTTTTTGAAAACACAAGAAACGTAAAAAATCGTAATTTATAACTTTGAGCATAACCTCTCTTCAGAAAGGGCAACATATAAATAACCTGTCGGGCACAGCTAATATTATAGATGTAATTCATTGGCAACATTTTCAGTGATTACTTTCTCACACAGGAAATATCACTGATTTTATACACATGCAGACCAATACACACAGTCATCCAGATGCGATCTTGCTATTCAACCAACTTTCTTCTCAGAGATGAAAACTACCGACTACTCGGCTTCACAAAACATATGCAACCAGCAATGCGTGTAGTTGAGCTATTCCTCCATAGATTGACGCTCACAACGATCCTAGTGAGCAAATGTGGAATGACTAGTCTGCAAGATGACATTTTATAGTTTTTTTTTTTTACTTTTTATAGGATTCTTACGTAATACCCGTGCGGATACCGATTAAACGTGAAAGAATAAGAGTTATTGCTCTCTCATGCGACAAAAATTTAACCTTCATATCAAAAGTAAGTCGCATCCTAGGGACAGTGCTTGTCCTTACCTGTTCATAGAATGAGACGAAAGTGCTCAGCCTGCTTCCAGAGGAGAAATGTCATCACTCCAAACGATTTACTTCATCTCAAAATCATTTCCACATGACGGCTCATCTGACAACTTTTTTCCTCAAAAAGAAAAGAAACATTTTGGTAATTTTATTTAGGATATACCAGTAAAACTAATTCATCAAGCTAATACTGTGTTTTTTCTCTTTCAGGGATGATGATACGATAACCCAATTTTTATTGTATGTAATTAAGTTATTCAATACAGTTGCAATAAATGATGGAATAACAAAACTGTTTGATTCTACTCATCACTTTAATTTCAAGCACAAATCATTTGGCCTCGCAGCAAAAATGGACTATGGTTTGAAAATAGGATCCCATAATATCAATAACGACATGTGAGCTTGCAGCGAAAACGTTAAAATTTGCAGAACCAGATCTTGAAAAGGAAAAAGGACTCTATAGGGTCTGAGGATGAACGAATCGACTTAGGCGCGTGACAATTTTACTAGGCAATGCTGTTTCTTTCTGACTTCACTGTCAAAAAAGGTTGAATGGCATTTTCAATGGGAGTATACTTTAAGTTTCCCACACCTCCCACATACGATTTTAGTGCAGTCTTCTCGCCCTTTGCTTCATGCTTGCCACTAGCGTCTAAAAGCAGAGTGATGTTTGCTTAACTGAATTTCCATTCATGTCAGTAAATACAACACAACAGCTTGGCCTTAGATAGTGAAGCAAAGTGTCTGCGCATTTGAGGTCCAATAACAAACCATAGGAAAAAACCTTGATAAAAAACTCATGGTCCATTAGTTAGACTGGAGGATATCAGTGAGATTTTCATCAAGGGTGCTCAACCAAATTGGGTCACAGCCCACAGAGGAACTGGGAAGAAGATTATTATTTAATTTTATATAGGCTGATTCCTTTACCCTTTTTTGTCATTTTTATCCTCTTTGTGTAATACTGAGACCTCCTCTCATTTTACCGTATTTCCTGTTACCCATATATGCTCGCTGCTGATTTTGATGTTTACCGCAGTCACAGTTTATTTTATATATAGATTTTTTTGTGTTTATATTTTCATTAGTAGGTTTTGAGTGAAAATTTTTCAAATCATGCTTAACTCAAACAAATCTCGGTGCGTTTCTGCTTTTGGACTTATAGTAAATAATTGCGTTCAGTGTGCGTCAAGGTTCAATTTTAGGTACTTCGTTGATTTAATTTATATAGATAATATAGCAAAGTCCATTCAACACAGCTACAGTCATACGCAGATGACACGCAGCTGCCCTACTTCATTTACCTTGATAATTTCCAGAAGGCAACCAAAGAAATAAATAAGGATATTGACTCCGTATGTACATGTTTAACTAATAACAATAAAATTATCAATGTCATTATATCATTGCTAACCTTAGAAAAGATGCTATTAAACTTGGTTCACAAATAATTAACGTATGTACAAAAATTTTGGCAAAAAATTCATTGGCTGTAATTTTAACAAACACAAAGTAATATCAAGTTGCCTTTGGAAACAAAAGTTATTTTACTTTCTTTATTGCCAGTTGACATTTATTAGAAATATCGAAGAGAGGTTTGAATATTAACGTATATAAAACAAAAGTGATGACGACAGCAGAGAGGAATGGAATGAATATAGTTACTAAGAGCGCACGTATAGAACAAGTCGAAGCTTCCGATGGAACAATGGAAGAGGAAATCAACGAAAGATTAACGAATGTATCTAGGCTCTATCACACATTTAAAACATCTTTCTTAAGGAAGAAAATGATAAACAGAAAAACAAAGATGACCGTTTACAGAACAGTATTCAGACCCATATTGATATTTGGAAGCGAGAGCTGTGTATTAACGAACAGGCAAAAATGCAAGTTACAGGCTATTGATATGAAATACCTCAGGGCAGTCAAAGGAGTCACTAGGAAAGACAAAATTATAAACGAATTTATTAGAGAAGAGCTGTGAGTGGAATCTGTATTACAAAGGATTGAAGAAAACCAATTAAAATGGTTTGGGCATTTAGTAAGGGTGAAGGATACAAGGCCAAACTCATATGGGAAGCGACAGTTCAACAGAAAAGGGCAAGAGGGCGACCGAAAAAGACGTGGAATGATGGATTGGCGAAAATACTCAAGAACAGGGGAATAAGTTGTAACGAAGCAGTGCGCCAGGCGAGAAATAAGGAAGACTGAGCTAAATTTATATATAATAAGTGATTAGTTTAGAGAATGAAATAATGTAATTGCACCTTACACCTACAGGTTTATAAGGTTTTAGATAATATATTATATATATATATATATATATAAATTAGAAATTTTTCGCCCAGCAGCCTTAAGACCATATCTTCTTGGGACCCGATTTCACACCTTGAACATCATAAATGCGGTTTTTTGCATTTTTGATTATATTATAGCTTTACATGATTTTCTGATAATCACTTTCCAGCCTCTTCTCTAATTGTTTTAGTTGATTTGAATGTAACATTATATGGCCTTATAAGCTTATATTTATTATTTGGTCTGTTTTACCATCCCTGTAAGTTACAATAAGTTACAATTTAACGAAAGAAATTCCAAAGTTGTTTGTAGGGATATAGTTATGCTCTCCAGCTTATTGTCTCTAAGGGTTTGTTATAGTTCGCGCCTACCCTAAGTGATAAATAAACTCTCTGCATCAATACTCCATAAATTTACTTATCCTTGTTTACTGCGTAGATAGGAGGGAGCATGATGTGAAGCTAGGTCGCTTATTAGATTCGGAAAGTAAAGGAAGGGTATAAACGAAGATTGTTCTTTCTATTTCCGCACAATAATACTTCGGAATTCACTGAACCGGTATACAGGGTTATCCAAATTAAGTGTCCACCATTGGTAACTTTGTTATTAGTAAAAATACAAAGTTGTTTAAATTAGCAAACTAGTAGCATTTTTAACGCTGGTAAAAATGAGAAATAAAAAAAAACAATTGAGAGTCGTTATTTTGATTTTTTTCAGTAAAATAACATTTTTTTAAATGGAAACCCCTGTATATTATATTTTTTTCTGTTAAAGCATCAAATTTTAAACAAAAAAGTTCATAATGACTTTTCCGCTAAAGTCAAAAATAAAGTCAAAATAACGATAAATATTTTTAATTATTTGCAGTATTATAATATTAAGACGGCTATGAAAACAACATGGCGTTCGCGATTTGACAGCATTAAGATAAGCGACAAATTGTTAAACTGGATAAAATCAAATAATGTCAAACATTAGTGTAAATACTTGTTTATAAGCTTTATTGTGTCATTAATTTAAAGAAAAATGTTCTCCCATGAAGAAAAGTGTGATATGTTAGAATGCTATTTAGTGTGCAAAAAATCCTCCTTGAGAGCAAGAGAATACTACAGTGAATTATATCCCGCTCGCATTCAACCGTATGAATGATATTTTCTGAGACTTTATCGAAAATTTAGGGGCAACGAAAATGTTTTTGCTAAAACAAGGGCAAAAAAGAATTCATAATAAGCGAGGCCACGGAAATTGCAGTTATTGGATATTTTGAAGCTTATCGTGAGAATTCAATAGCAGATATTCTCAAGGACTCTAATTTCAGTTATGGTACTGTTCAAAGGATTTTAAAAAAATACAAATTTATTCCGTATAAGTACCGACCAGTTCAAACGCTTTTGGCAGGGGATCCAGAGAGAAGACTTGTTTTTTGCCATTGGTATCTTAGCTTCTGTCGCCAAAATGTAAATAACTTTCGTTACCTTTTATGGACAGATGAATCAAATTTTTCAAATTCTGGAATGTTTAATAGAAAAAACCACCATTATTGGTCAAGAGAAAATCTTTTGTTAGTACATCCAAGAGGCCCACAAGTCCGTTTCAGTTTCAACGTTTGGTGCGGTATAATTGGTTCAAAAATTGTTGGCCCGTTCTTTTATAAGGGAACCCTAACTGGTGCAAGATATGTGGAATTTATGTCAGAAATTCTGACTAATTTCTTAGACGAATTGGATCTTATAAGTAGACATCATCTGCATTTTCAGCAAGATGGCGCACCTGCCCACAACTCCAGAGGTACTTATCATTTTCTAAGTACTACTTTTAATGATCAGTGGATAGGAACAAATGGCCCAATACAGTGGCCTCCCAGATCACCAGATCTAAACCCACTTGATTACTTCTTGTGGGGTTACTTAAAGAACCAAATTTACAAGCGAATTTACGATAACCTTGACGCGTTAAAGACTGCAGTTAGGGAAAAGATAACCCAGATAGATGGTAGGACCATACTTAAGACAGTTCGAGCAGTTGAAAAACGTGCCCAAAAATGTATTGAAGAACAAGGTGGTGTTTTCGAGCATCTTCTTTAAAAAAAATTGTTATTGTATTTTGTAAGATTATAAGTTGATGTTGAAAATAAAGTTTGTCGAAACAATTTAATTGTTTCAGATTGGAGGCCATAACTTCAACAATTTGTAACCTAGGAGAAAAGTTATTGTAAGCTTTTTTGTTTAAAATTTGATGCTTTAACAGAAAAAAATATAATATACAGGGGTTTCCATTTAAAAAAATGTTATTTTACTGAAAAAAATCAAAATAACTACTCTCAATTGTTTTTTTTTATTTCTCATTTTTACCAGCGTTAAAAATGCTACTAGTTTGCTAATTCAAACAACTTTGTATTTTCACTAATAACAAAGTTACTAATGGTGGGCACTTAATTTGGATAACCCTGTATAGGGCAGGAAAAACAGAATAAATTGATTCTATTTGAATATATGAAAATTTAGTAGGTCTCTAACAGTCCATATGCAGTGATATGAATATATCAGCATTATCATAATCAAACTGTAGATGCAATTAAATTGAAACGTGGATTAGATAATGTTTGGTTTGATAACATGAGTTATAAGTGTTTACGTAGATCGTATTATGTTTTAGATAGGAATAGAACTTTGTTGGAAGGTGTATCTATCCTCGATTCCCCGGATTTGTCCTAGATCTATTTATTTATTTAAATAAACATACCATAGACATACAATATATGTATAGTATATGTCATGTAAACCTACCATTTAAAACAAAAAATAATGAATATCATACGTGTATCATACCATAAAAGCAGTACATATTATTGACAACAAAATAATAACATTAAAATACATATGAAATACATAGGAATAGACAAAGCGCTCATAAAATATATGTATATCACAGACACTGTTAAAATCTGCAGAAAAATAATCCTTCATAGTATAAGCTACTCGCCTTACCAACATTTGTTTTACAGTTCTTTTAAAGCTGTTAAGAGGTATAGTTTGTTTGTTTATAGTTTATTTTATTATTTACAGAAGTAAAAATTACAACTTATTCTTAATTTGATGCCAAGAATAAAAGTTTTCCTATTTATTTTTTTATTAGATTACTTCAGAAAGAGAAGCGCGTAATTTTATCATTAATCAGTTCATTTGTGTTGCTGTAAGTTTAAGTCGATTTTGTCAATTTTTGTTAAACAACAATTACTTGACACATTTAACAGGCAGTTAAAATTTAGAAAATAAAAATGAAAATGTCAACATTGTTTTTGTTTTTAATATACTCGTAAAACGAAAATTTTACGGGTTTTTGATGGTTTTG